GATCTCAATTTGAGACTTCAGGGAAAGGACGTTTTTGTGCACAAACTGTACAGCAACGTGAAAGCATTCAAGGCCAAACTTGTACTGTTCTCCAGAGAGATATCCAGCCGAGATTTCGCTCATTTTCCTACACTGACCGGACTAAGCACACCAATAACACATTGAGAGGTACAGCAGCACTTTGATCGACCTGCATGCAGAATTTTCCCACCGCTTCACAGACTTTGCTAAATTTGAGACTGAGCTTGAACTTGTCTCATGCCCCCTATCTTTTGACAGCGAGAAAGCACCACCAGACACACAACTGGAACTCATCGACATCCAGTGTGACAGTACTTTGAAGGAGAAGTTTCAGACAGCACCAGTTAACAAGTTTTATGCCTCACTGGATGAAAAAAAATTCCCAAACATTAAAAAGCATGCCCAAAGAATGCTTGTTTTATTTGGATCCACATATGTGACCACAAAACCAGTCATAAGGGTAATTTTTCGAAACTGAGATTTATACATCATCTGAAATCTGCATAAGCTTTTCATTGATGCATGGTTTGTTAGGATAGGACAATATTTGGTCGAGATACATCTGAAAATCTGGAATCTGAGGGTGCTAAAAAATCTAAATATTGAGAAAATCGCCTTTAACATTGTGAAAATGAAGTACTTAGCAATGCATATTAATAATCAAAAATTAAGTTTTGATATATTTATGGTAGGAAATTTACTAAATATCTTTATGGAACATGATCTTTACTTAATATCCTAATGATTTTTGGCATAAAAGAAAAATCAATAATTTTGACCCATACAATGTATTTTTGGCTATTGCTACAAATATACCCCAGCGACTTAAGACTGGTTTTGTGGTCCAGGGTCACATATAATAAAGCAAGTGGCACACCTTAAAAATCACAGAAATCTGATTTGTTTTTAACATATAATGTATAAGACTTGTATCATCATTTTGCAAGTTCTGCTTTCTTCTTCATTCACAGTGGAAAGAGAGGACAGAATCTGAAGATTTTTCTTTTGCTCTTGATCATTATGGTACATTAGAAAACATTAGTGATTACTGTATTTTACATATTCATAAATAAGCTCATTTGAGTCTGAAACTCCTTATTGTTTCCTTATTTGTAATACAATATAAAGTGAATGACATACGGTTCAAAATTTGGGGCAAGAGTAGGTATCTCAAATGACAAAAATTTACATGAAATCTGATCTGACCATGCAGTCATTTACAAAAATCTGATTTTAATTGGATTTCAAACCATATGCGAGAGTGGATCGAGTCTGTAAAAAAGTGGACAAAAAAATCTATCTATATATGTAAGTGTATATGATTTATTTATATACATTTATAAAAGGTTTTATACAAAATGTTTAGATAGATAGATAGATAGATAGATAGATAATCAATGTATGTATGTTTCAAATAAATTTGTTTTGTGTTGTGTGTTGTGTTGTGTTTTGTTTTGTTGTGTCGTGTTGTGTTTTTTGTTTTGTTTTTTGTTTTTTTGTTTTTGTTTTGCTTTGCTTTTGCTTTTGTTTTGTTTGCATGGATTTCATGTGTTAAACATGTCCATTAAACATATTTATGTCAGATACACCAAAAAAGGCTGCCTTTTTCAACCAAGCCTAAGTACACAGCTTTGGTTACCCAGTGTACTATGTCTGAATATGCACCTCTAAATATGCAACCCTCCACTTTTTCATAATAGTTGTTGAGGCTTATTTTCTTTTCTTCCCTGCACTGTTCCCCTTCCCCTCGTCCCCTGAGAGGGCCGGCGGTCTAATTGATATGGAACTCATGGTACGGGTTGATGACTGGGATTAGGGCAGTGAGGCAGAGCACAGCACAAATATTATTTTAGCCACATGGCTCTGCATTTAAAACTACACCTACGCATTTGCCAAGTTGTGCGTTCTGCCTAATACACCTAATCAAAGACAGATGCTAAACGGACACTCACACATGAGCTGCGTGTGTGTGTGTGAGGTCTGTCTCACCTGACAGCATGTTGTCATTTTTGATGGAGGGGAATTTGAGGGTCATCTCATGCTTGTGCCGATGAATCATTAGATGATCCTCCGTAGGGAATCTCTGGAGAACATGGAAACAACTGGTTGCGATTTTATCACACTAAACACATTAAAGAGCAGAGGCTTGTTTTTCTTTCCATTTTGTTTTCTTGAAAAACTGAATCTTACAATTAGGGACTTTATCAAGCAATGTTATACTTACCACCATGTACAACAGGACTGAGCCTTAGGCATAAACTGTCTGTCTGAACAGATTACAATAATACCTTTCGGATTGAAAATACCTTCTCATTATCGTAATTACATTATCTTAATTGATGTTTTAGAGCACCTGAGAGGAATATTGTATCTGTAAATGGTCCACATGAACCAGCCTGCTCAAACAGATTGTGACAGGCCTAGTCTAATTGTGCAGCGGTTCAAAACAGGTGGATTGTGATTCGAAAATGGGCCACAGGTGTGTTCTGATTACGGAAAGAAGGAAAAAAATAT